CTTGAATCAACACCCTGGTTTAGACCTGCCTTACAATTAGTTCCCTAGTTCGGAGCGATGTTAACGGCATTGTGAAGAGCTTTAGTTGATGGCCTTATCGATAATGATGAAAAAAGTAATTTCTTATAAAAAAGACATACCCATTTCAAGACTAGAGTGCAAACACCATACCCTATTTATTACCAAAATGGCCATAATTGATACTCTGTTTGACCATAACAGCTGAAAAACCATATCCTTTGGGGCCGCACATACCTATATAGCTCAGATAAGGGAGTACTACCCCTCCCCCCTTCACTCCCCGGGGATGATACCTGGCGGCATGGAATGTAATGGTTCATTATGGCAGTCAGTTCTAAAGGGAAAAGAAAATCGCCAGTATATCTAAACATGAAAACCTTAAGGCTTTTCACGGGTCCCCACCAGCCTGGAGTCATTGAAAATATTCGCAAGTGTTGGAACCTTGTTTCTGAGGTTCCAACACTTGCGAATGAAATTACAATAAAATAATGTGCTACTGTTTATTACTTTTAATTTTTGTATTGTTTATTGCGTATTACAATTCACGGCGCTAAAAAAAATTACAGGTAATTTGCATGTAAACCCAAAATGGGGTTTCAGTGGGTGGTCGCCTGGCTTCACCTTTCGACTGAATGTTCACTTGTTACCAGTCACTATAACAACTTACATTACATGGTTATTACAGGTCCAAATGTATCGACAAAAAGGAAAGAAACATCATGAAGCATTTTATTTTATATCATTTCATTTGATGTCATTTTATTGTTAAACTACACATCCTTGATATAATTTTCGATCGTATTTTTATTTTCGATTTTCCGTGTTAAGTTTATCGGACCTCTATAGAAGTTAATTACTATCTAAAACGTCCTACGCCCAAATCATACACCCAAATCATACACCGAAAAGCCTTGCCTTACTATTTTATTACTATTTTGGTCTGTATTGAAGATTAGATAAATACGTTTGTCCAGTCATCGGTGTACCAAGGTCTTAACGAACAAAGACTTTCCAGAAATCACCAGAAGACACTCCGCCAATCACGTCATCGCAATCCCATCTTGGTTCATGTGGAATCAGCACCCAGTGATAAGCAAATACTTGAAATGCAGGGTAATAGTACAATCTATCTTGATCTCGAGCATGCCCCCATTTGCCAACATTATAGTTCTTACCAT